GTGGGAACTTTAAGCTGCAGGAAAATTCACCAAGAGAACCTAGTCTATGAAAACGTATTCTATTTATTTTAATCATTTTAGCCAATTTTAAGCAATTGAACTTGCTTTACATTTTATACAACTATTTTACTTTTTCATTCAAGGCATTAATCTAATGTGCTTTGCTTTCTAGTCTGATGATGATCTATTAATTATTGAGTGCAGTTGTGAAACAAATTCCATTTCTACTATTTAATTCTTGAATCTTTGTCTGTTCCAGAAGATGAGTCTTTCAGCTTGCCTGCCATCGTTAATAGGCTCTAGTTTTACCTGTCATAGTTATTGGGGACTGGCTTTGCTTGCTTACAATGTATTATATGGTACAAATACTGAATGGTGGGACATGTATTCATAAGTTAATTCTTAAGGCTGTTGCTCACATTCTTTTGATCATTAAGGAGCAGATGGGAACAGGAGGAAAGTCTCACAAGAATGGATAATACAGGGTGAAATGAAGGTGTTAATGGCAAAGAGAGCAGTGAGCATGTTTTGTTTTATGGGTGAAAGGGCTGTCAGCCAGCTCAAAATTTGAACTACTGTATGTTTTAATTATATTATGTTAACACTGGTTTCTCAGTCCTGATAACATATGTCTGTGAAGAACATCTTTGATTTCTGAAAAAAGTTTTCTATTTTACCACTGAGGCTAGAATTTGTGAACTAAAGTGATCCTGTACATGACAGTCTGTTTTGCCAACAGTCCAATTTATACCAAATATTAGATCCAGCAGTTGTTGCCAGGAAAGTCTTATGATGAAATGTTGGTAGCTTTCAGTTACAGCAAAAGAGAACAAGAAGGGCATCAGGCAGTGTTACAGTGGAGGCCCTGTTGTGTTTGACTAGATGAAAAGTTACCACCAGCAAAAAGCCCAAGTTTTCAGATCTGGTTCCATGGCTATTCCAACTTTGCCCATCCCATGACTATAAACTTTGTCTATTCTAAAAAAATGTGCCCCTTCACAGTGTTGTCACCCTCAGCTAATATTGGATTATTTGAATTATTTTCATCTTTTCTGCTATGGATTCAGGTCTGGTTTTGGGATAGAAACAATTTTAGCCACATTGTGGCTGATGTACATCATAGAATGAATGGTGGGAATGAAACCTTTTTGGTTCTTCTTGACATTTATCAGGGCTGGGCTTGGACAGCATAGTATTATAATAGTTTCAGTCATTACTGGAGAAGGAATATCAGAAGATGGTGCTGGGATTCCATGCCATGGCCATTACCTCAAGGTATATTTGCAATATATCATATGGTATATTTTTACCTATTTTGCAAAACATATATGTTTGACTTAATTTTCATGAGCCACATTTCTTCTGAAGGAAAATGTAGAATATTAGTAATAATAATAGGATTGGTATGGTGTGCCTTGCTAATGGAATGTCATTGCTTTTGTTGTTGTTGTTATTACCCTCAAGCTGATCTTGACCCATGACAATCCTGTAGATGACACATCTCCAAGATTACTTGTGCTCCACTGCTCTGCTCAGTTCCTGCAAATTCATATCTGTTACCTCTTTTATAGAGTCCATCCATCTAGCATGCAGCCTTCCTCGTTCTGCTTCCCTCCACCTTTCCTAGCATTATTATTTTCTCCAGTGAGTTGTACCTTCTCATGATGTGGCCAAAGTACAACATCATCTAGTCATCTTGGCTTCCAGAGAGATTTGTGGTTTAATCTGTTCTAGCATTCATTTGTGTGACTTCTTGTCTGTCTGTGGTATCCTCAACAATCTTCTCCAGCTTCACATTTCAAATGAATAGATTTTCTTCCTATCCACTTTCTTAACTGTCCAGCGCTCACATCCATACATGGTAATAGGGGATACAAAGGCTTGTACAATTCTAACTTTCATGCTCAGTTGTATATATTTACATGTTAGGATCTTTTCTAGTTTTTTCATAGCTGCCGTCACAGCAAATTAGAGCAAAGGGTAAGTGGTTGGATGTTGAATTGAGATTGTTAAGTCAATGAAACAAGGAAAGATGTCTTCCCTTTAAGAATTCAGATAAAAGTCCTTTATCCATTTTTTCCACTCTATTATGTGTGCAGTCTAGTAAGACCAAAATATTTGAAGGGTGAAGATGTGTCATGTAGCCAAAAGTCTATTAAGGGGAATTTTATTTAGCTCAAATTGAGAGGAGGTTGGCTACAAGGACCTCACATGTATACCAAGAGTTCAGGGGATCTAAGAATTGATGCAGAGACAGAATTCTCCAATTAAAGTATTATTTATTAAAGAGGAAAATCACACAATTCACATGCATGCACACACTTATTCAAGGCTCAGGAAATCAGGGGTTAGCTTGGAAAAGATGTTGAGGCAGAACTACAGGTGATACTACAGATGAGGCTTTCTCCAGGATTCAATTGGGTGAAGTGGCGTGAGATACAACCATTTTGAGAGTGCAGGTTTGAATGGAGGTGCTGGTAACTAGATCAGAGAGCACAGTGACACAGTGTCCCTATGAACTCCAACTAATGACACTGAGGGGGAAAATCTAGGGTTTTTTTTAAGGGCTAAAACTAACTGCAGGGCAAAGGTGTGAAATTGCATGGATGAGGTAATCCGGTCTGGCAATA